TCTGATGAATCTATTATGTTGGTGGTAGAGCTGGTACAAGGAGCTCCAGAGCAGCTGCTAGCACTGACCCCAATCCACCAGGCAGCCTTGGCAGAGAGGGTACTACAAAACCTGGTAAGAGTTCATGCTTCCAGATTCAGATCTGTTACCCTTGGTAATGTGTACCTTTCAAACAGTGTTCTCTGTGTTCTAACCCCCACCTCCCTCTCCTTGCTGCTAAATAGGTTCCTATGCATAAGGCCTTATCCCCTTAGATCTGCCTCTTGATTCTACTCCTTGATAATCTGCTTCATGTTTCTTGTCCATACCCCTTGAAGTTCAAGAAATCTCTTGGATTCCACCTTTCAGTCTTTATGCCTCCTCATATCTGGGCTCATTCACTATTTTTAAAATGTGAACAAAGGTAATGAGCTCACAAAGATGCTAACTTGGGAGCATGAGGGAGGGAAGGTCAAGGGGCTTGGTGTCTGGATCAAAGAGGCTGGTACTCTGAGTCAGAGATAAATTGTCCAAGGATTGATACTCTTCTCCAGGCTCCAAAGGAGACCCCAATCTCAGAGGAAGTGCTGGAGAAACTGGGTCCCTTGGTTGGATTCCTAGGGATAGAGAGCACACGGCGAATTCCCCTACCAATCCTGCTATCCCATCTCAGTCAGCTGCAGGGATTCTGCCTAGGAGAGACGTTTGCTACAGAGCTGGGATGGCTGCTGTTACAGGAGCCTGTTCTTGGGTATGGACCTTTGAGAACTTCAGATTCTAACTTACCCTATACCCAGCCCCTCAACCATCATCTTCAGGGGCAGACTATTCCACTTGCTTAAGTCCTAAGTTCTCCCAATCCTAGCATATCCTCATATCCCTCAGCTCCCTAGCCCATGGTCTTCTTCCTGTCCCCCAGGAAACCAGAGCTCTGGAGCCAGGATGAAGTAGAGCAAGCTGGACGCCTAGTATTTACTCTGTCTACTGAAGATATTTCCTTGATCCCCAGGGTGAGATGAAAGAACAAAGGAGAGTAAATGCATAGAGAGGACTATAAGTTGGTATTGGGGATCTTAGACCAAAAAGTGTGCAGTCTGATTCTGGAAAGTACTGCTGACAGACATAGCAGCTGCAGCAACTGGCCCTGATCCTGTGTGGCTCTCCCCACCTTCCCTTTCCTCTGTCATGCAGGAGGCTTTGGGTCCAGAGACCCTGGAGCGGCTTCTAGAAAAGCAGCATAGCTGGGAACAGAGCAGAGTTGGACAGTTGTGTCGGGGGCCACATCTTACTCCCAAGAAAGCAGCCCTGGTAGCTGGGTTTGTGCGGCCAGCTGCTGAGGATCTTCCAGGTGAAGCTACCCAAATACTCATATTTCCAGCAGGCCATACAGGAGAGGGTCTCAAACAATGATGCAGTCAGAAGTCTGGCCTCTAGAGCTGGGGTTTTAGCTCAGTGGTGTGCTGAGTCCTTAGAGCAAATTCTCAAATCTGTGGTAGCAGGTTTGGTTTGGTAATTTACAAAACAAAATGATTGGAGGGATGATATTCAAATTCCTTTCTAGTTCTAAGGTTCTGTGATTCTGGGAGTTTATAACCCATTAGGTTTTTAGTCTAGGACTCTTAACTCAGTTCTTCCTGGGCTATGTGTGGAGCTCTCTACTGAGATCCCCAGAAGGAAGAAGACTACTTGGGAGCTAGAAATTCTTTGGAGTTAGATACCTGGATTCTAATTTAGCTTTGTCATTAAATTACTGGGCAACTTCCTCAGTAGTGCATTTATGAAATCAGCCCTTGTTCCTCTTCAATCACTTATTGTTCTAATATCCTCTGAGCCCTATAAATCTCAACCCATAATCATTCCTTGACTCATACTGCCTACACTACCCCACCCTCCAAAAGTTGGAAAGGTCATTCATCTACAGATATCTCTCTGGGCATATTTTAATACTATACTGACCCCCAGACCTGCCTTTCTACTCAGAACCTGTACCAAATTGTGCAGACATAAGGGGGACCTTCCCAGCAGCCTGGTCTGCAACACAAATTGCTGAGATGGAGCTCTCGGACTTTGAGGACTGCCTGGCACTATTTGCAGGAGATCCAGGACTTGGGCCAGAAGAACTACGAGCAGCCATGGGCAAGGCAAAGAAGGTTAGGGATAGAGAAGCCAGTAGGAATTGCAGGGGGGAAAACATGAGGAAGTTGGTTGAGAGTGTTATAGGACACAAGAAAATGGGGAGTTGGGTGAGAGGGGAAGAAACAGGAGATTAAAGGGTTAGAGGGTTTTGGATCACAAATAGATTAGAGGGGATCAATGTTTAAGAAAGGGGCTAGAATAGTGGATAGAGAGACTAGAGTAGTGGGAATCAAATTTAGTGTGTATTAAACCATCTGAGTGGCAGGTTTTTAAAATGCTGTTCCTGGGGTCCCATATTAGACTAAGAATCTCAGGTTGGGTCTAGGAATCTACATTTTAACAGATACATCAGTGAGTCTGGTGTACTTGAAAGTTTAGAACTCATAGACTAGAGTTTTCTTTTTTCTATTGATACTCTAATTTTTTAGTCCCAGAAACTATAATCCAATTCTCTCATTTTACAGTTGAGGAAAGTAAAGAAAAGGCAAGTGATTTGCCCAGTGTTCCACAGCTAAGGTTAGAGACAAGATTAAGACCCAACATTCTGACTCCTAGTGCGGTGCTTTCTCCATTCACATTATTCCTCTTTTTTTCCTAGTTGTGGGGTCCCCCCCGAGGATTTCGTCCAGAGCAGATCCTGCAGCTGGGCAGGCTCTTAATTGGTCTAGGAGAACGAGAGCTACAAGAGCTGACCCTGGTAGACTGGGGAGTGCTGAGCACCCTGGGGCAGATAGATGGCTGGAGTTCTGTCCAGGTAATACCTTCTCTCCTCCCTGCCACTTCCCAAAAATCCATCCCATAGACCCAGGCCTATAGGTTACCCAAAGTCCAAGGAATTTTTTCCAGTGACCCTCCCTGACCATTCTTTTTTAAAAGTATGGTGCTGAGAATCGAACCCAGTGCCTCACATGTGCTAGGCAAACACTCTACCACTGAACTACAACTCCAGCCCCTCCCTGACCATTCTTTCTGTCATTTCTCAATAGCTCACTCTAGCTATCTAAGGAACTCGGTGATTTATTCACAGTGAGGTCCTGGACACATAATATTCTCTCCTGCCTCTTTTTCTTTTGCCTCCTTTTTTTTCTCCCCCCCCCCTCCTTTTTTTCTTGAGCAGTAGGTATCTTTAACCTTCCCCCTTGGCCATTGGATCTTCTGAAAGAGCCAGGTCTGGGATTTTTTTTTTTTTAAAGGATATGGTCCAGTAGCAACTACCTAATCCCCTAATAACTTCCCTATTCACTAATTCCCCATGATTTCTCTTATCCTATGTGCATGTACCTCCACTCTAGCTCCGGGCTGTGGTATCCAGTTTCCTACGGCAGAGTGGTCGGCATGTGAGCCACCTGGACTTCATTCACCTGACAGCACTGGGTTACACACTCTGTGGACTACAACCAGAGGAGCTACAACATATCAGCAGTTGGGAGTTTAGGTCACCTGTAGAGGGGTTGTGGGTGATGGTGCTGAGGTGAAGGTGGGCTCTCTGGGGAGGGAAGGATTATGAAGGGGTAGTCCCATGAAAAAAGGGAGATCATTTGAAATCATCTCTTTCCCTCTTAACCACAGCCTCTATCACTGAAGCTGAATTTTCCTTTCTTCCCACTTTTCCACAGCCAAGCAGCTCTCTTCCTGGGCAACCTGCATCTCCAGTGCTCTGAGGAACAGCTGGAGGTTCTGGCCTACCTCCTTGTGCTGCCTGGTGGTTTTGGCCCAGTCAGTAACTGGGGGCCTGAGATCTTCACTGAAATTGGCACAATAGCAGGTGGGGAGGCTGGACTCTAAATGTTGGTGCTAAATTTCAGGATTTGGTTTCCATATCATGGGTGGACTGGGTGGAGGACTGCTTTGGACTTCTTAAAGCAGAAGTCTGAGAAAATGTTTAGATAAGGAGCTAGAGACAATGTTAGAAAAGGTAAAGTAATTTGGGAATAGTTGGAAGGGAAGTTTTAGGTTTGAAGAGAAGGGAAGAGACATGACAGCCTATGACATTTAGATGAATCCTGCTTCCTTCAATAGCTGGAATCCCAGACCTGGCTCTTTCAGCACTGCTACGGGGACAGATCCAGGGGCTGACCCCTCTGGCCATTTCTGTCATCCCTGCTCCTAAATTTGCTGTAAGTTTTGTTGCATTGGGGTCTGGGTTGACAACAGGAGAACCAAAGTTACATGTATACACTAACGCCTATCCCCACTTCCAGGTGGTGTTCAATCCCACCCAGCTATCAAGTCTCACCAGTATTCAGGCTGTCGCTGTCACTCCTGAGCAAATGGCCTATCTGAGTCCTGAGCAGCGACAAGCAGTTGCATGGGCCCAGCATGAGGGGAAGGAGAGCCGAGAACAGCAGGGTGAGTTCCTGACCCTCTATATCCTGATTCACAATATAAACCCTAATTTGGTGCTGTCTGACCCATAGATTCTGCCTAAGGAGATCCTTGGAGTGAAGGGGTCTATAGGAAGAAAACTTGTTTCCAAGTACCATTGGCTCCTGGGAAGCAGAGTTGTGATATTCCTCTATTCCTCATAGGGCGAAGCTCAGCCTCGGGCCTCCAGGAGTGGTCTCAGTCCTCCTGGGTTCTGGTATTGACCATCAGCTTCACAGGACACCTGCTATGAGCCTTTCTCTACAGTTAAGAGAGATTATTGAGCAAGAAACCTTACATCATAATGAATAAAGTGCAAATGGAAGTACATCCCAATTATTCTCAGGAAACTGATGAGAAATATGGGTAAAATGCTAATGCTTTCCACCCACCTGGGAATCAGTGTTCCTGGCATGCCTTATCTGGAGTCTCTTTCTATCATAAACAACTCCACTGCTTCTTTTTACTTCCTGGAGGTTTATCCCTACCCCTCACCCACCAGTAGAAATAACACAGACAGCTGAAGCATAGCAAGGAGTCTTTACTAAGATGGGGGCTGGAGGTTGAGACAGATTAAGGACAAGTAGAATGGGTCACCATTAAATGGGAAGAAGTCCTGGGGCTCTTGAGTCATCTGCCAGAGATAGGGAGTCAATGTTTGTTTTGGATGAGAGGTGCAGGGATGCGGATATCCTGGCCTCTCTCCAGACGCCGTTCACAGTCAATCAAATAGTTTACTCCATCGATGACCAGTTGCACCAGCTCCACCTGAAGGACACTAATCCTTGATCTCTGCTTCCCATAATCTGAGTTTCTTTCTTTAGCACTTACTGACTTTCCTGCTCTGGAAATTAATTTCCAATTGCATTTTTGCTTAACCTGAATTTCACTTCAGATTCTGTTACATCCTGAGGCTCACTCTCACTGTCACTATCTCAACCCCCATAGACCTGTACCTCTTTTCATTCTAACCCCTTAGGATCTCACCTCTGACTTGCCCAGTCGATCCAAATTAGAGATGTCAAAGACATTGCCTGTGGCAGCAGTGTCTACTCCTCCAGTCCCACGCTTCTGGAGTCTTAGGTTCTCTAGGATCTTTGGAAAACGGCTATCCTAGAGGGGAGATAGGGATTGGAGGTAGGGTCAATAGAGGCAGAGACTGTTCCTATCTGCTCAGAGATTTTCCCCTGACCCTTTAGTCCCAATATGTCTGGCTCCTTTTGAAGTATCCAACCCCACCCATCCACACTCATCCTCTTCCTCACTTATACTGCTTTCTAAACCCCCACAACTCCTTTACTTTGCTTAGCAGGGGCAGTTTGATGTGCACTCCAGCCCGAAGTCCAGTGCCCAGGTTAGATGGACAGGTCAAGATGTATCCCAAACGCTCATTCCACATGAATTCCCAGCCACGCTCCTGGATTAGCCGTTCCACCTGAGCCCACAAAGATTCTGTTAGTCAAAAAACAAAGGATATGTGGACCCTCCCTTAGGAACTCTAGAAATATATAGAACAAGAAACTTGGGTGTGAATAAATAACATTGTTTTTTTTTTTTAAATGAAAATAGTCGATTATTGTCATCATATATGCAAAGCAATTTTGATGTTGTAAAATAATGATGTGCCTTATGATGAGATTGTGAGAAAATATATTGTGTGTGGAAGGAAAGAAAGTTGAGGAATGCATTAAGGATGATCTAGGGAGCTGGGCCCAGTGGCATGTGCCTATAATCCCAGAAGCTTGGGAATCTGAGAATTGCAAGTTCAAACCCAGATTCAGAAACTTAGAGAGGCCCTAAGCAACTTAGCAAGATCCTGTCTCTAAATAAAATATTTAAAAAAGGGGTGGGGACATGGCTCAGTGGTTAAGTGTCTCTAGGTTAAATTCCCAGTATGGGGGTTGGGGATGACCTATGGAAATGAACAGAGGTAGTACAATGAACTGAGAAAGAATTGATTATTCAATGAATTCTGCATGCTTTACAATGAGCAGAGGCTCCTTTCAGATAAAAAATGAAGGTACAAGTTTTGCAACAGAAAGATGCAAGAAAGCCTTCTGTTAGCCATGGAAGGAGCACAAGTGAGAAAGCAGAGACATGTGATAACAGAACAGAAAAGCCAGATTCATAGGGGTGTGTGTGAGAGAGTGAAAGGGGGCCTGGAATGGGTGTTCTCGTTTCTCTTAGCTATCCTAATCATAAAGATGAAGATTAGAGTTGAAGAGACAGAGGATCTGTCAGGGCAATGAACACCAAGACCATTTTCCAATATTAATAAAGGGGACCCTGTTTATAATTCAGAAAGACATGATGGTATGGGGGATTCTTTCATGCTGAATATGGGGAACCCTTCTGTTAAGAATAACAACATATACCTAGCACTTATTAAGTACTTGATATGGAACAACCACTTTATCTGCATTACTTAATGTCTCACAACAACCTAAAATGTAGGAAATCTTATTATCTCAATTTTACAGATGAGGAAACTGAGGCATTTAATTTAAAGAGTACTTCCCTACATATGCATAGTCAGAATATGTTATCCCTTATTGCCAAAAATAGTTTAAACTTCCCAGCTAGAATCTAAAAAAGGAGCTTGCTTTCTTTCAAGTCTAAAATAGAACTGTATATAAGAGAACATACAGTAAGAATTGGGTTTATAGCAGGTTCTAATATAGAATTAAATATGGAGATTCAATCCATACAGGATTGTAGATTCTGTTCAATCCCTTATCTAGAGCCATACATTCTGGAACTTGAGCCATCCCATCCTCCTTTTTCTCTTATCCTTCTCCCACTCTTAGTTTAAAGCCAAGACATGATAATTTAGCAAGAATGACAGAATCTAGAGTCAAGGCCCATCTTGACTCAGAACTGAGGGATTATTTTGGAATCTTAAACACCATAATCTCTCAACCCTACATCAATCCAGGCTCCAGTGTTTTCCTAATCTGCACACTCCACCATCCCACACCATATGTCCCAGGAACTAACTTGCCATCTCAGTTATTTCTTCTTTGTATTATCTGGAAACTGCTTTATTTACTTCTTTTTGTTTCTGACATTCTTTTTCTCTTCCTATATTTCGGGTGACAATATGTCCTGGCTTTCCCAAGACAGTCCTGGTTTTACACCCATTGTCCTGGAGTGACAAATGGTAACCCTTTTTACTATTAGAAATGTCCTGGGTTAGTTGTTTATGTCAATCTACCTAGGCTGCTCTTTGGTTTTCCTTATTTTCTCCCACCTAGCTTCCTTATACATTCTTTTTCTTTTAATATTTATTTTTTAGTTGTAGTTGGACACAATACCTTTATTTTATTTATTTTATATGGTACTGAGGATTGAACCCAGGGCCTTGAATGTGCTAGGCAAATGCTCTACCTCTGAGCCACAACCCCAGCCCCCCCTTATACATTCTTCTCCAACCTCTTTGAGGCCCCGGCAGAATCTTTCAAACACTCTCTTCATGTTGCCACCCTTTTCCATGGAGATGACCCGTGTATGATCCTCCTCATTCACCCAAATCAAGAAGCTCTTCTCATTGTTGTGCCTGGGGGCAGGAGGAAAAGGGGTCAAGTGGCAAAACAAGAACTGGGAAAGAAAGGGGAAAAAACATTTATGTGGGCACAGGGGATAAAAGAGGTGAAGAGCAGCCTCATACCAGATTCCACGAGCATCTGGCCAGTCTCGAGCCATTCCTGCTGCAGTCAGTAATGGGGACACAGGCTTATCAAATAGAAAGTGGTCCTGGGGAGAGTAAAGCAACTTGGGTTAAGAATCCTTCAGGTATTGAAGCCTTGAACCCAGAGCCCAGCTATTTTATATGGCCCAGGCTCCCCTCTGGTTCTACTCCCCCAACCCAGCTCCCTTTCAGGGTCCCTCACATCAATAAGCTGCTGCTGCTCAGCCTCTGTCATCTCACTGAGCCTATAGTAACGTCCAGCCAGGTCACCCTTCAGGCCACTCAGTGCATCCACCACAACGCGTTCCACCTCTCGCCGTTCTGCCCGAGTGCAGGCTGGAGGCAGACTGAGTCCCCGGATACTTCGGCCAGTTCTGACTCTTGAGGACAATACATACCTCTCATCAAAGTAGCCAGAACGAATCTGAGGGACAAATGGAATATAAGTCATAGAAACAAGTAGATATATAGCTCAGTTGGTAGAGTGTTTGCCATGCATGTACAAGGCCCTGGGTTCAATCACCAGCACCAAAAAAAAAAAAAAAGAAAAAGAAATAAACACCCTTGGGGAAGGAGAGATTTCAGGGATTAGAGGACCTTCCTTCACACAAGGTATGTATTCTTCCTGCATACAATGAGGGGAGGAGTCAACTGGGCAAGACTCCAATTGAAGGAAGTATTGTGGACCCTTCCTCAAACTTCCCACCTTGGAGCATGGTCATTCTTATTTACTGTTTTTTCCACATCTGTTATTTCTTAAAATACAACTCTTTCCCCACATTAAGATTAAAAGCTCAGCAGTATAATGACCATGAGTCAGGAAATAATCAAGGTGAAGGAATTGAAGATACAAAATCTTTTACATGAGGCAACACAAATCAGAAGTGGAATATATGGCTCACCTTACTGGCATCCAGGTCAGTGGTGTGTTTCATTGTTCTGGGATCATATCCATTGTGTCGCTCTTGAATCACTGGGTCAAACAGGTCAGCAAATATCTAAAGGGGAGTTAAGAGGAAGAGGTGGTTACAGAGAGGAAATCTCTTCTTAGACTTCAATTATGAATAGATTTCACTGGGTCAGAAAACTTCAGTATGGATGGCCCAGAGTCTTGAGGGAACGTGAGGGATCTTTAGGAGAAAGGAGGTGGAATTACTGGGAAGACAGCTTGGATTACCAGGGAGACTCTGGGGGCCCCCTACCTCATAGGTCTCCTCATCTCCAGCCACCATGCCCACAGTCTTGATGAAGGGGTGGCCAGGGTTGTCCACGCCAGTCTGGATGCACTGATCTAGAGTCCAACCCGTGGGTGTGGTCTTGTCGCAGAGCCGTGCATAGACTGCTGGGGTCAGGTGACTGGCCATGCAGTTGTTGTGCTTTCGGAGGTCTGGGTACTCAGCGCTGGGGAGGGGGTACCCAGTAACCATGGAGGGAGGGCACAGAGGCCTGCACTTAGTGCTATCAGCTGGGAGCTGTCCAGTTAGCCACATTTGCCTTTGCTCCAAGGGAGGAGGGGGAATTAGAGGTAGGCTAAGCCTTGATAATCTCTTTAGGACTTTCAGGGTCTATTCTTTCCCAATAGTTCTAGCTGCCTGTGGCTGGCTGGCTCAGTTCCCCCAGACCTGCACAGTCCTTTCCTCCCATGAACACAGCATTAGTGATGGGGGAGGGGAAAGACTAAGGAGGAGAATTCAGGAAATGGGGGAGAACAGCAGGAAAAGGAGATGGAGAGTGAAAAGGATAGTTCCTGGTCTTCGGATTTGGAGTCTGGGCAGGGGTGCAAGTAGAACTCATAGGGCCAGAACTGGTCTTGGTGGCGGGGACCGCGGGTTAAAGGTCCCCACAAATGCTCTTGCTTTTTGGGTTTGGTCCCCGCTTCCGCCCCACTGAAGTCTTTTTGTAATTATTGTCCTTGTCTGTTGCCCAGGTCCTCCTCACTATCCCCACCTCCGTTCCCATAACCTCCTCCTGCGAGCCTCAGGCACTGATACCTTGGGGGATACAGCCTTCGTCGTTCACTGGCAGCTCGTACAGGTTCCGGGCGGAGCAGAAATCCAGCAGCTAGGGATCCGGCTCCGGCCAAAGCCAGGAGCCTGAGCCCGGGGCGGGCAGACAGCAGACGAGAGAAGGGACCAGCCATGGCTTATGGGGTCCGACTACTGGATCCCAGAGCAGGAACTGGTGCGACAGGATCAGGGAGGGAGGATGCAACCGGTCAGACTGAGTGCTGGAGCTGGGTCCCAGGCTGATGCCAAATGGGGGTGGGGGTGGTGGCTGAAGCCAGAGTAGGAGCGGGTGCCAACCAGGCTGCTGGAGAGGCGCAGTGAGCTAGTTGGAGCAGAGGCGCAATGAGCTAGTGAGGGCGGGCGGAGCAGAGGAAGGCTGGAGCCGCAGTCTCCAGGGGTGGGGCTCACTTAGACCCCGCCTTCTCGCCTGCCACCGCGCTAGGTGTGTGGGGGCGGGGGTGGGCAGCACTAGTCAGGTAATTTGGAAGACCTGAGACTCGCACCCCTAAGGCTGGGATGTAGGCCCACCTGGGATGAATCTGCCCAGATTTCAGCACCACGTAAAGGACAGCACCACAGCACTCCGAAACCCGAACACCATACCCCCAAGCTCCCTTGGTTTAATCTGAAACCCGATCCGTCGACTTTGTGGGTGTGATAAGGTGACATTGCCAACCTCTACTCTGCTTTCGGCCTCCCCCAGCAACCTCTCATCTTCCCAGGGGAGGCGGCCGCAAGAAAACCGCGGAATAAGCACCGATGCCAGAGGAAGACACACAGAAAGCACAGGGTTAGAGGCAGACAGTAGGATAGACACCCGCAGGCTCAAGGTCACCTTTTCCTAAGAACCAGGAAGAGTACCAAGGTGCCTCCTTGACATACCTGTGCTCTCCTAACAAGGTGGAAAAAGAATTCCCTGAAAGGAATCAGAGAAATATTTGCTCTTTTCCCATCCGCTATGCTCTGTCCTTCATTCCCACTCTGCCCCCAATTCTGCAGCCCTACCTCCACTTCTAAGTCTCTACTTATCTTTCTTCCCCACCCTTCTCCCCATTCCCTACTTCACCTTCAATCTTTTACTTTTCTTCCTCTTTTCCAGGCTCAAACCTGTTTGCTGCTCACAGGTCTCCCTCCGAGTAGTCTCTGCGAGCTTGCCTACCTGTTAGTTGCACTGGGGATGGGGGCGGGGCAGGAAGGGAATTGTTAGCTTTCTCTTCCTTCTTTCCCTTCTCTGTAGCTCCCAGTTCCTGGACTGGAGAGGAATATAAAGAGAGAAGGGTGTGGTGAGATGACTGGGTGTGGAATGGAACAGGCAGGCACAGGTCTCCAAGCACCATATGTGTTTCCTCTCTTGGCTCCCTAATGCTGTTTAATCCGGAGTGTAAAGGCAAATGGTGTCCAAGGGCATAAGGTCATCAGGGAATCTCTGCCTTCCTCCTAGTCTTCTCTCCTCTCACTCCTCATAAAGTTCCTATTCAGATTTGAGAGGGCTTAGTTTCCACAGCTCCACATATGACTGGTAGGGAGGAGAATGAATGCTGGAGCTGAAATAGGGATGTTCGGGGCTTCAGTGTGGAGGGTCAGTTAAGATGGAGTAGATATATTGGTATTAGTCCCTTCCTTCAACTGTCCTAATGTACCCACAATACAGGAAGATACTTTGAAATTTCAAGAGAGAGTATTTTGGAAGGAGAAATTCCCTTCACATTGTCCTCTGGCTCCACTGATGTCTCCCCACCATACTCTTATTCCCTTAGCTGTCCTGAATGTCCTTTTTCCTACCTTCCTCGTTTTTAGGTATCCTTAGAAACTATCCATCTCTCTTTGGTATCCATTATTAACTCTTTCTCCTGATGAGACAGTAAGTATCAGAGATTACGTTAAGTTCTGCAGTTAGAGTGGTCACTCTTGGAGAGACAGAAAATGTTACCTGTGCTAAAGGTGCCCATTACTTAGGTAAAGGTATAGCTATGAGTAAGTAAATATAATTACTGGGTATGGTGTATATTTATCCAGATAAAAGAGAGAGATAATCTTCCAAACCAGTAGGGTTGTAATTTTACTTAGAGGGTGTTAAGGAGATAGGGGGTGAGAAGATAATTATATATAGAAAGAGAAATAAGACAGCCAGAGGAGTAGAGAAATTATTTGAGTTTGAAAAGTAGTTATCCTAATTTATAATAGCTCCACTGAGAAGGAACATTTATTTTTATACTTTTATTGTTCTTTGTGAGCCTCTGACAGACATATCATGTATTAATACTCATTTAAAAAATTATCCTACAGCATATGTGAAATAGTCAACACATCTGTATTTGATTTATCTAATAATTACTGCTATTTTAAATAATATGTAATATTTTTCAAGCATTTTGCATTTGCAAAGAACTTTTATATATATTATTTTACAGAATCAAATTGGATTATTCCAGTGTATGACTAGGAACAGAATCTATATTTTCATGGAGATCATAAGAGAAATTAAATACATGAAAGATACTATAATAACTTGTTTGAAGGGTTGGAGTGATGAAGAAGGTATGAGCCTGAGCATGAACTAGGGAGGCATCTGTTCTTCTGAGAGCCAGTGCTTAGAATCATCTCTCTCCATTCAGGAGAGTTTGGCTTTGGGGTAGGGGGTCAGTACCTTCAGGCACCTGACTGGCAAAGGGGCGATATCCCTAAGGTTGCAAAGAAGAATTTGTAACTGTTCTGACAAAGGAAACCCAAGTGAAGATGCAAGGATGATAATCAAAACACAAACATATCCAAAATACTTTCACATAACCAGTACCCTATAAATTAGTTAATTTATAAAAATTAGTTATAGATGGACACAATACCTTTGTTTTATTTATTTATTTTTATGTGGTGCTGAAGATTGAATCCAGTGCCTCACACATGCTAGGTGGGAGCTCTACAACTGAGCCACAATTCCAGCCCCTAAATTAGGCTTTTAATATTACTTTTAAGAAAGATGGAGGCTCAGGGAAGTTAAATGACTTGCCCAAAGCTACACAACTGTAAACGTTAGACCAGGATTTCAAATCCAGTTTTGCAGATCCCCAGCTTGGAGGGTATAGAAAACACAGGGTGTGGAGATAGGAATCAACTTGTCCAGTCTTCTGTGTCCATCCATTTTATTGTATCCGACAAAAAATAAGTCTCTTTGTAGCCAGGCACTGTGACTCATGCCTGTAATTTCAGTTATTTGGAGGGCTGTCACAGAATGATCACAAATTCGAGGTCAGCCTGGACAATTTGGAGAGCTCCTGTCTCAGAATAAAAAATTTAAAGGACTGGGAATGTAGCTCGGTGGGAACCCTCTCCTCTCCGCCCTCATTCCATTCACAGTACTGGAAAAAATAAAAGCCTCTTTGTTCCTTCTCTTAACTTTTTAATCTGCTTCTTTGTTTTTGTCTTTGTTCTCCCTGTCATTTCTCTTTGCATTTTACATTTTACATTTTACATTACATTTTACATTTTCAGCCTATATTGGATCTTTTACCCCGTTTTGTCTTATAAAACAAACAAAAGACTGATTTTGCTCTCAAGGAGGTGCAATGGCACAAACTCTTGTCTTCTCCTTTGGGTCTCGCTTTTCCCAAAACCTCACTGCCTTTGTCTCAGACCAAGAGTCTGAACTGTGGCGACGCAGTAAGAAATTAGAGGTAGAAAAGCATCAGGTTGCATTCCCGCCCGCAGCCACTAGGAGCCACCCTCCTCTGTGCAGAAGCACCGGCCAACGCAGCCTGACTGTTGCCGGTGCGCGCCCTCCGCTGATTGGTGGCACCGCAAAGAAGTCGAGCTTTGATTGGACCACTGTCAGGTGTCGCTGCCGGCAAGTTCGGCTGTGCGAGCGGAGAGAGGCGGGTGAGTGCGGGCCGGGGGCGGTGGGGGAGTGGCTGGGGGCTGGGGGCGGTATCGGAGGGGGTGGGCGCGGTGGAGTGGGCTAGGTCTTTGCAGAGGGCGGTGGTTAGTACCCGTTTGGGGCAGATTCGGGGAAAGAGGCCCAGCGGAGAGGCCTGTGTGTCAGCGCAGGGAGAGTGAGGCGGGGGCGAATAAAGGCTAGAGAAGTCCGGATGCCAGGGCGGTATTCGTGATCCCTAGCTCTGTAAGGAGAGGACGAAGGAGAGGGTCAGCGAGAGGGGAGATGAGTGTGTAAGGATCCGAGTGAGGAAGAGAGGGTCCTACAAGGGGGCGGAAGGAGTGGAGTGTACAGGGGAGAGGAGCAGGGAGGAGGGGGGCCAGCGCGAGGAGGATGGGGACTGGATGGACTGGGGAGGGTCCGGGCTGGAGGGGCTCAGCGCAAGGAGGGGAGGGAGCGGAGTGGACAGGGGAGTGGGTCCACTCGAGGAATGGACTGTTGTAGGGAAGAGGCGAGCCTCCAAAGAACGTCGTGTGAGGAAAGAATGGGGATCTCAGGCAGCCATTGTAGGGGAATCATTGAGGATTTAGTATAAATATGTAACCGAGTGTGATGACTCATGTAAAGGTTTGAAGGCCTGTGTAATTCCGGGGAAGCAGTGAGTGGGAGGATTAATATGATTAGTTGACTAGTAATGGGGGACAGCACTCAGTGTGGGGAGTGGTTGGGGGAAATCAATGAAGGGTCATTATAGCAAGTAGGGGAAAGAAGGCAATATGAATGTGTTAATGCTCAGGACAGGGTGGCCGAAGGAATAGGGAGTAAGTATGGAGGATTAAAATGTGCATTAAGAAGGAAGTGAGGGGTCCACTGTTTGAAGGTAGGAAGGAGATAGTGTTGGTGGCCTGAGAAGTTTTTCTGTTGGAAGTATTTCTTTATCACCCATGGAGCCCTCCAATCAAGTGCAAGGTGATTTAGGAAATTAGGGAACTATGCAAAAAGCAGCACTAAGGGATAAAGAAGTTACATAGTTTATTTATCCTCCCTTTTCACCTCTCTAGATCTGGTTAACATAGATGTTTCTGAGAAGATTGCCTGCCCCTTCCTTCCTGCTTACCTTACCCACTTTCTCCTTCCACCTTCTCGTCTTTCTTTCCTGCCTCCTTCCCTTCCTTCCTTCTTTTCATATTTATTGAGGCCATAATTAGTCCGCTCTTTTGCCCAGTGTAGAATCTGAAATTTTCTTTCGCAAGAAAATTTGGGGGAGAGGATGAAGGGTAAAAAGCATAGAAAACAGGGAAGTGGTGCCTGACATTGTGGCGCAGTCCTGTAATCCCAGTCTCTTTGGAGACTGAAGCAGAAAGTTTGAGGTCAGTCTGGGCAGTTTTAAAAAGATCCTGTCTCAAAATGGGGATAAAAACAAAAACAAAAAAACAAACTGGGGATGTAGCCCAGTGGTGGAGTACTTGCCTAGCATGGGTGAGGTCCTGGGTACAATCCCTGTACCAAAATAAAAATAAATAAAACAGGGAAGTGGTTTTGGGAACACCACATTAAACCCCAGCTTCTCTCAGAGGTACTTCTAAATAAGTCCAAGCTTATTTCATAGCTATTTCTGTCAGCTTTCTATTTTTGCCTTGTTAAATATGAATTTGGACCTTTCAAGTCTGTATTCTTGAATAGACTCTTCTCCATTCTGTTATTTACCATCACCCCCCATTACAGAGTTGTAATAGAATTTCAAGAGCATGACTGTACATTCAGTAAAAATTCATTAAGCGCTTAGAGAAAGAAAAGGCAAAGGATTTTGAATCTTAGACATGAGAGAAAGGTTAAATAGTGAAACACAATTCTAATTACCTAAACTGTACAGAAATCTTGGGAATGCAAGTCATGGGCATTGGGTCAGGTCACTAAAGAAGAATTCATAGAAATAACTATAAATTAGGAGGAGGAGTACATGTATGAGACCTGCAGTGCATAAGTGGAAATGTTCAGTCTAAGAAAATGTCATACCTGTGGTAGTTGAGCAATAGAGATAACAGGTGAAGACTGGAAAGGTCAAGGTCTATGTAAAGGTCATCTATTACTTCCTAATCAAAACTGCAAAACCCCATTATAATGACAGAGTTTAAAATAAAACTAGTAAAGTAGAGAAAGTAATTGTTGAAGACTTTAAAAAATCTATAAAACTAAATTAGTTCATTTACTTAAGGAGTTTGTGGCTTTCATTAGAGTTGTCAGTATTTCTGAGAACTCCTGGAGACCATGGAAAATTGCTGATGTATGACTCAATTTTATTTTTGGAAAATAATAACAGATGCTAATATCCCTGTAATTCACTATTAGCAAATGTTTGCCCTTTGTGTATTTGCTTCAGATCTTTTTAAAATTTAAATAAACATTATAGTTAAGGCTGTGAAGTACCATGTGAATCTTTTTCAGTTCCATTCTCCTTTCTTCTCAGAGGTAACCACAATCATAAATTCAATGTCTTCCTTTTAAGTCCATGTTTTTATACTTTTAGTAATTATTTTTGCAGTCATAAACAATATGTACTCAATACAATACAAACAATATGACTCAAATTAATGTCTTAAGATATTTTTACTGATATGGCTTTAGGCAGGACTTTTTTCCACTTAGCTCCTGAAGTGAAGGACCTTGCCCTAGACCAGCACTGGTTTTGTAATGTGTAATATTGCTTGTTTTTACAAATGGAATTGTACTGTATGCATATCTCTACAGTTTGCACTTGGAAACTGCCAACTTGTTATATATATCTCTGTTCACTTTTTATTTTTTCTAGCTCTATCACTAAGCTCATTCATCACAGCCTTTTTAAATTTTTATTTTGAGTCAGGGTCTCTCTAAGTTGCCAGGACTGGCCTTGATCTTGTGATCCTCCTACCTCTGCTTCCTGAGTAGTTGGGATTACAAACTGTGTGTCACTATGCTAGGTCTGATTCATTTCACTTTTTTTTTTCCTGGGTACTGGCGATTGAACCTAGGGCTTCTCGCCCATGCTAGGCAAGAATTCTACCACTGAACTACATCTTGCCCTTTTATTTTTTATTTTGAGGCAGGTCTTGGTAAATTGCCAAGACTGGCCTCAAACTGAGATTCTCCTGCCTCAGCCTCCCAAGTTGCTGAGATTACAGGTGTCTGCCACTGCACTGGTTAACCTCCTAAATTCTGATTCACTTTACTATGTTTCATTTATTGCATTGTATCCATTCTTCTACTTATAACATCTAAATTGTTTTCAGTTTTTTTTCCATTAGCAACAGTGAGATTAAGGACAGCTGGGTGTAGTGGTACATGCTTGTAATCCCAGCAATTTGGGAGACTGAGGCATCTTAGTGAGGCCCTGTCTCAAAGAATATAAATGACTGGGGGTGTAGTTTGGTGGTAAAGAGCCCCAGGGTTCAATTCTCAGTACCCTCCCCCACCAAAAAAAAAAAAAAAGAAGAAGGAAGAAGAAGGGGAGGAAGATGGTTAAGAACATGTCTTCTTGGGCTGGGGATGTGGCTCAAGTGGTAGCGCGCTTGCCTGGCATGTGTGCGGCCCGGGTTCGATCCTCAGCACCACATACAAACAAAGATGTTGTGCCCGCCGAAAACTAAAAAATAAATATTAAAAAATAATTCTCTCTCTCTCTCTCTTTAAAAAAAAAAAAAGAACATGTCTTCTTATGTAGGAGAATTTCTCTACAGCAGGGTTTCTGTACATTGTCACTACTGACATTTTGAACTGGATAGGTCTTTGTTGTATGTGGATATCATATACATTTTAAAATGTTTAGCAGTGTCAGGTATGCTAAGCAAAAATGTCCCCTGTACAGCAAAATCACAACTGGTTGAGAAAGACTGCTCTAGCTGTGTATATATAAAAGTGCAACCGCCAGCTTGTTCTGACTCATTTTCCCTGATGTGAAGGACCTTGTCCTAGACTAGTACTGATATCAGGAGACAGTAACAAAACATTGAGATTAGAGTTTCAGAATGGACCAGAGACTGCTCTTTGGATGCTTGCATCATCTACCTCCCAGCCAGTACTAGACTTCTTTCCTTGAACTAATTTTCTGGACTTGGGTTTCTGTCTTTTAAGATGGAAGAGGTGAAGGGGAGACATTGGGAATTTTAATGTTCTATTATAATGCTTAGAACAGAGGGTGCCCTCAATGTTTTTTTTTTTAATATTTATTTTTTAGTTGTAATTGACACAATACCTTTATTTTTATTTTTATTTTTGTGGTGCTGAGGATCGAACCCAGGGCCTCTCATGTCCTAGGTGAGCACTCTACCTCTGAGCCACAACCCCAGCCCTCAATTAATGTTTCTTTTGAGTTAATTCTTGGTAGAAACGAAGATGAAGTTTAAGGGCAAATGGCATCTGAATTGTCTCATTCCTTTATTCCTGAGTTAAATCCTTGAGTTCAGAATTACTGTGGCACAGGGTAGAAATATTGTGGAATGAATCCAGAATTTGAAATGTCACTCTTACTTTCTATTCTGGTAAGGAATCAACAATAGCCTTCCTTGAAGAACTGTCTTTCCCATTTGCTACCTGAAGTTAACATTGTTTCCTGCTGGCAGAATCAGGGACATGGGAGCACTGTAAGTCTTAATCTCCAGATCCTCTTAGCTTGGTTAGGGTGAGATGATCAGGGAAGAAAAGGGAAACTTTTCTTTTACAGTTCTTTTTTTTTTTTTTTTTTTTAATTTCAAATCATTGCCCACAGCCTCCCTTCTTGTTGACCTTTCTTTCACATAGCTTTGTTTCCTGTTTCCACTTGTACCATGTAGTCCCCTTATTTTCTAGTTCTCCATACCCAATTCCCACTCATTGCTTGAAGGCTTAGATTCTGAACTGATGGGGTACCCCCTCTCTGCAGAACGGGATGAGTGGGTGTTCCGGCGGGGATGTGGTCATTGACGGCCAATGAGGACGAGAGCACCACTGCTCACTTCTTCCTTGGAGCTGGAGATGAGGGGCTGGGCACTCGTGGAACAGGCATGAGGACAGAAGAGAGTGACAGTGAGCTCCTGGAGGACGAGGAGGATGAAGTGGTAAGATTAGGGAAAATGATGTAACTTGGTGTTGGAGCCCCCATCATAGAGACTTGAGATCCTATGGGATAGAGACATCTCTCTGCTCTTTCCAAATATATAGATTGTCTGTCATAAACAAGCCCTATCCTGGTTTAGGGGAGGGACAGTGAGATGATTAATTGCTTCTCTTTGAAACCCCTGCCCTTTTGCCCTTCTCCTATTGTCTCATGGTTATTGGTTCTCTGACTCTTCTGCTTGAGCATATATTTCCTATAGTGGAAAGCTCCTATTCTGTAGACAGTAGTAATCCCTAGACATGCCTCAACCTAGACCAAAGTTAGTAGGCATCCTTGGTCCCCAGTGTTAAAAGTCCTGAGAAGAAACTGTGCCCTAAAGAGATGAGATTGTGTTCCTTAATGAGGGTAATATAGATGGGAAGTTCCTACATTCCTGATAGTACTTTTTCTCTGTAGCCTCCTGAACCTCAAATCATCGTTGGCATTTGTGCCATGACCAAGAAATCCAAGTCTAAGCCAATGACCCAAATCCTAGAGCGACTCTGCAGATTTGACTACCTGACCGTTATCATCCTGGGAGAAGATGTTATTCTCAATGAACCTGTGGAAAACTGGCCATCCTGCCACTGCCTCATCTCTTTTCACTCTAAAGGTTGGTATCTGGAAAGAAAGACAGGAAAGGATGGTGGTGGGAATGCAGGATTGGGAATGAGGTTCTTACTGTCTTATTAGTAAAAAGGCCATCAGCTCCTCCCAACACTAGAGAACAGTGCCAAGGGATTTGCTTTCCCTACATCTTGGAGGAGTTGCTGGGTGTAATTAAGCCTCAGGATAGCTCTAAAACTGAGAATCTCTGACAGAGTTGGGTTTCTGGAAGGATCTTAAACATAATCTTTTTTTCCTGATGAATATCCTAGACTTAGGAAACTGGACAGAGGAATAAGTAAAGGGTTGGATGGGTAGAGGAGCTCAGTATCAGCTATGACCTTTAATGTGTCTCTCTGTCTCTCTTGCCATTTTCTTACCCTGTCTTTTTCACTTTCTTTGTTTGGTCTATTTCCTTTTTCCCATCCCAGGCTTTCCTCTGGACAAAGCTGTTGCTTACTCCAAGCTTCGAAATCCCTTTCTTATCAATGATCTGGCCATGCAGTATTACATCCAAGATAGGTATAGCTTTCTGTGGACCAGTGGGATGGATAACCCTGAGATCGTGCCCATTTAGGGAACCACTCTGGGAGGGGCAGAGTCAAACAAACATGTTTAATTTTTGTATCATACCCTATTGAGTTCTGTGCCCTGGTATCTTCCAGTTCCTATGCAAATGATATCCCTAGCCTCTTCCCTTAGTCAATCCCTACTTCTCCCAGCTAAATTTATTTGGGGGTGACAGGAGAGAGGTGTACCGGATCCTGCAGGAAGAGGGTATCGATCTGCCTCGATATGCCGTGCTCAACCGTGACCCTGCCCGGCCAGAAGGTGAGTACCTGCCCTTGCCTTGCTTTCCATGACTTATCCCAGTGTCTGTCCTCTAAATATCTCCTATATACCACCTATCTATGTGGGACTTTGGTTATTGGATTATGGGTAGGATAAGAACCATGGGTCTTCGGACAAAGACTCAGACCTGTTACACAGATACTGTCATATCTATATACCACATATCTATATTACTATATCTGTTACTAAGAGATGGCCATAAAGTTTTGAGGGTTGTAAAGATTAAAACCCCAGGGAAATGGGAGTTGGAAATATTCTATAACCTTAGGCCCTACACACTCCCACCTTTTAGAGTGCAACTTGATAGAAGGTGAAGACCAGGTAGAGGTCAATGGAGCCATCTTTCCTAAGCCCTTCGTGGAGAAGCCAGTGAGTGCAGAGGACCACAATGTTTACATCTATTACCCCAGCTCTGCTGGAGGAGGAAGCCAGCGCCTCTTCCGTAAGGTGGGTGGGGACATTTGAGCATCTGGGAAGTTAGAGAGGTGGAAGGATGAGGATGATATTGTGAAGAAGGGGGCTGAAGGATTTGGGGATAGGGTGGTGGATTGAGGCAATGTTTTCTTTCCTTTCTTTTCTTCCTGAAGATTGGCAGCCGAAGCAGCGTTTACTCTCCTGAAAGCAGTGTCCGAAAGACGGGGTCATACATCTATGAGGAGTTTATGCCAACAGATGGCACAGATGTCAAGGTTATGGTGGACACAGGGATTTAAGATGTTACAAAGGTCTGGGTGGGGATGGGGTTCTTGGGAAGCCAGTGCATGTGGAAGGGGTGCTAGAAATTAAATGTGAATTCAGTTGGCTTTCAAATTCAAGTGAAGATAATGAATGGAGAATGTAGACATTCTTATTTATACTGTCAGAGCAAGGGCAAGGTGGCATGAGAAATGGTGTAGTGTTGATAAATTACTTTTTAGTGAGGACTAGATAATAGTGCTAGAGTTCTAAGAAGAAACCTTCCTAATAATGCTGCAGTTGGGCTCAATAAAAATAGTGTCAGTCTCCTTATTCTTAATACTCAGGGGGTTTTTGCTTTGACTTTGTTTTGTTTTGTTTTTACTCTGAAACTAGTCTACAGACCTAGTCCTCATATTGTCTTCTCATATACAGGGTGAGCTGTGGGCATACTCAGTGATGCTATGTACCTGCAGGTGTATACAGTGGGGCCAGATTATGCCCATGCTGAAGCTAGAAAATCTCCAGCTTTGGATGGAAAGGTTGAACGAGACAGTGAGGGGAAAGAGGTTCGATATCCAGTCATGCTGACTGCCATGGAAAAGCTGGTGGCCAGGAAGGTCTGCGTAGCTTTTAAGGTAGGGGAAGGACCATGGCATTTGTGGAATGAGGGAGACAGACAGGAGCAGAAGTCTGGGAAAGAGTCTTTTTTTCTCCTTGTCTCCTTCCCCTGCAGCAAACTGTTTGTGGATTTGACCTTCTTCGTGCCAATGGTCATTCTTTTGTGTGTGATGTCAATGGCTTCAGTTTTGTCAAGAACTCAATGAAGTACTATGATGACTGTGCCAAGATTCTGGGGTAAGAGACAGTAGTCTGTGCTGAGAGAATGAACTTAGAGAAAAGAGACAGAAAGCTTTTGCTTCTTAAAAAATATTGCAAAAAGGGCCAGGTGTGGTGGTGCTTGCCTGTAATCCCAGCCGCTGGGGAGGCTGAGACAGGAGGATCACAAGTTCAAAGCCAGCCTCAGCAACCACGCGAGGCATTAAAAACCTCAGTGAGACCCTGTCTCTAAATAAAATACAAAATAGGGCTGGGGATGTGGCTCAGTGGTCAAGTGCCCCTGAGTTCAATCCCTGGTACCCTTCCCTCCAAAAAATATTGCAAAAATGATTTAAGAGTGAAAAAGGAAAAAAAAAAAGCAAAAGGGCTTCTCATCCCCTTTGCTTTCCCAGGGCTGCAGTCCTCAGAGATGATAACTGTTAACAGCTTTAGACATAACAGATTATCTTTTTCTGCCATGTATAAATAAACTAGATTTATTTTACTTAAGATGATCATATTATGAAACTGTTCTGCAACTTGGTTTTTTAAAAAAATCATCATATAATGTTTAAACTATTCAAAAATATGTAAGGAGTAATGAACATGGTGAACATCCATGAATGTAGTAGTGTTGGCTGAGCATTTACTAGCCTAAGAAATAAACAAGAATATAGGTGAGCCAGGTACAGTGGTGCATACTTGTAATTCTAGTGATTCAGGAGGCTGAGGCAGAAGGTTTACAAGATTGAGTGCAGTTAGTGAGATTGTCTCAAAAACAAACAAACAAACAAAAAACCAAACACTTCTGGGTTCAATCCCCAGCACTGCAACAAAGGGGGAAAAAAAATAATATAGTGGAAGCCCCTTACACTCCTCCCTGGTTACATCCCCTCTTCCATGTCCAGAGGGAACCACAGTCCTTAATTTGCATTTATTTATATTTCCACCACGTATGTGAGGGTATGTGTTTGCATGTTTTCAAACGTTTTATTAATGTATTCTTCTGTCACATTCTTGTTTTTGTGCGCTTCATTCAGATTTATAGTACTGATTTGTTATTTTCACATTTTTTTCATATTTCTCCTTCTAGAAACACCATTATGCGGGAACTTGCCCCACAGTTCCAGATCCCATGGTCCATTCCCACAGAGGCTGAGGACATTCCTATCGTTCCCACCACATCTGGCACTATGTAAGTGAAAATAAAAAATCTGGAGTAACACTTGGGATTCCTTAAGCCAGACCAGTGGTTGCTCCTGACTCATGCCATCTAACAGGTAGAGCCTGGGTCTCTTCTAAGTAGTCCCCTTATCAGTACCTATATCCCTAATCTCAGATCCTTGCTCCTCTGTTCTTTGACGTGTCAAGTATGATGTGAGGATGGGGGGTGATGGAAGGTTGGGATAGGAGAGAGGCTCTGAGAACATTCCTTATCTTAGGATGGAGCTTCGTTGTGTCATTGCAATTATCCGTCATGGGGATCGTACCCCCAAACAGAAGATGAAGATGGAGGTGACACACCCAAGGTAGGAGAAATGTCCAAATGTACACAGGTCTTTGTGAGGGAGATTGGGTAGAGAACAAACAGCTCCTAAAAGCTTGATTTGTCTTGCTCCTTACTTCTTCAGGTTTTTTACTCTATTTGAAAAACATGGTGGATACAAGACAGGGAAATTAAAACTCAAGCGACCTGAGCAGCTTCAGGTAAGGTGGTGAATCTCACCAGAATGAGTGCTAGGAGAAAAAAGGTGTGGGGTTGATAAGAGATAGGGTGGAAGGGCAAGCCTCAAGGACATGGCCTCCTACATGGAGACCCTATTATTTCCTCTAGGAGGTCCTGGACATCACAAGGCTGCTGTTGGCTGAACTAGAGAAAGAACCAAGTGGTGAGATCGAGGAGAAGACTGGGAAGCTAGAGCAGCTGAAGTCCGTGTTGGAGATGTGAGAAAGAGGATAGCAGAAGGGAGCCTGTAACAGTGAGAAGTGAGGTACTAGGGCACAAAGTAAACTGTTGTTGTATCCTGCAGGTATGGTCACTTTTCAGGTATCAACCGGAAGGTGCAGTTGACTTACTACCCTCATGGAGTAAAAGCTTCTAATGAGGGGCAAGGTAAGATAGCCCCTCTTTCAATTATCATTCACATCTCTTGTTCTTAAACCTGTAGAGTGCCTCTACCTGAAATTACCTTTATGGTTTCCTCAGAAGTTCACCAGTTAGATGTTCATAATATTTTCCTTACATCTAGACCTACTCACTGCCCCATATTCTCTCAGATTCACAGAGGGAGGCTCTTGCTCCATCTTTGTTGCTGGTTCTGAAGTGGGGTGGAGAACTGACTCCTGATGGCCGTGTTCAGGCTGAGGAGCTGGGGAGAGCTTTTCGCTGCATGTACCCTGGAGGACAGGGTGAGTGTTGGGGTAAAATCCTTAGTAGGGCTGGAGTAAGATGATTAGAAAATAAGTCAGGGAAAATGGAAAGAGGCAATGGGGAAGTTAGAGAGGAATAGAATATTCTTTCCTCTATATGGGTACTTATAACAGTCTATTTCTGGTCCTTTCCTTTGCCCCCAGGTGACTATGCTGGCTTCCCTGGTTGTGGGCTGCTTCGTCTCCATAGCACTTTCCGCCATGACCTCAAGATCTATGCCTCTGATGAGGGCCGTGTCCAGATGACTGCTGCTGCCTTTGCCAAGGTGCCTATAATGGCTTTTTCACAGTCCCAGCGTCTATTAAGTAGAGAAACAGAAGGTTTGGAGAACTAGTTGGGAAATGTCAAAGTGTTTGTATACCAACTCAAAAGAAGCTATCACATTGTATACAACTGAAAAGAAGATGAGAATAGTTAGGGGGAGTAGGTCTCCTTGCTCCTCAACCAGCTCCTGTTTGCTCTCTAGAATAATCTAGGCCTAAGAGAACTGGCTTGGAAAAAAGAACTAATTGACCTTGGGCTTCCCCTTCAGGGCCTCCTGGCTCTAGAAGGAGAGCTGACACCCATTTTGGTACAAATGGTGAAGAGTGCCAACATGAATGGTCTCCTGGACAGTGATGGTGATTCCTTGAGCAGCTGCCAGCACCGGGTGAAGGCTCGGCTGCACCACATTTTGCAGCAGGATGCACCCTTTGGCCCTGAAGACTATGATCAGGTCAGGCTCTCCCTATTTCTGTGCCCCAAATACCCTGGATCCCAAGTTCCTAGAATTCTAAATAATAATAGTTATCAGTGTAATAGACTTATTACATGCCAAACATTGTTTTAGGTGTCTTACACATATTATCTTGTTAATCCTTATAGCAACTCTTGGAGATAAGTAAATGCCATAATTCTCTTATCCACAATTTCAAAAATTAAAAAGGTATTTATCAGTTTGACATCATTCATTTGGCAGCCAAACCCTACATGAATTGTCATAGGACTATTTATACTTCTTAAACTTCCTATTTAGTGTCAATAGTCATACATTTTGTTGCAGAAATATTAATGTGTTTGGTTATGCCCTAAATTGAGCTGAAGGCATTAAATAATGTATGACATAAACACTTTTTAACTTCTGAAGTTCAAAAAATTCCCACCAAATGTAGCTAATCCCAAGGACTGTGAATAGGAGAATGTTTCAGTTATCTCTTGTTATATAAGCCCCTGGGAGCTGGGGATATAGCTCAGTTGGTAGAATGCTTGCCTAGCATGCACAAGGCCCTGGGTTCAATCCCCAGCACCACAAAACAAACAAACAAAAAAACTATCCCCCAAACTTAGCAACTTAAAGCAATAGCCATTCCATTATCTCTCATAGTTCTGGGCTTTACTGGTCTAGCATTGGGTCTCTTCTGGGGCTATCTAGGAGGTTTGACTGGGGTTCTGGGATGGGTGGCTTTCTCCTTCTTCATGCTGTCCCTGTAATCTCAGGATTACACAAGTTTTCTTGTGGCTTCTCAAACATATAACTGAATTTCTTTTTTTTAATATCATTTTTTTGTTGTTGTTGTTTATGTTTTTTTATGTGGTGATGGGGATTGAACTCAGGGCCTCATGCTTGCTAGGCAGGTGCTTTACCACTGAGCTACTCCCTAGCCCCATGACTGAATATCTTAAATGATGCTTTAGGGTTCCCTTAACACAGAAATTTACCAGCTTTCTTAAAGCATAGACCCAGAATTAGCACAACATAGTTTGTTATTTTTTATTGGTTAAGTAGTCACAGGGCCAGGCCAAGGGGAGAGTCAAGGGAAGGGAAGACAAAGAATTAATGATCACCTTTAATTACCACAAGGACTGTCGGAACTGTACTACTTTTCTCCCATTTTACAAATGAGGAAATATAAGCTCTAAAGAATTTAAGCAGCTTTTTCCAATATCACACAGCTACACAGCTAGTATGAACCCTAGGAGTCTAACTCCAGAGCATAGGCTGTTAATTACTACAATACACTGTCTCTCAGTATCAATCATAGTGGGTACCATTATCCAATGTGACCATCCTTTTTCTTGGGTATCCAGGCCACAGTTGACCAGGCAGTGGTTTTCCACTATTCCAATTCTCATTTCTGATAGGTTCTTTTTTTTTTAATTGTAATTGGACATAATACCTTTATTCCATTCATTTATTTTTATGTGGTGCTGAGGATCGAACCCAGGGCCCCGCACATGCTAGGCAAGTGCTCTACCACTGAACCACAATCCCAGCCCCTCTGATAGCTTCTTTTAAAAATTATTCATTTTTAAAATTGTATCTTTTTAAACATTTTTAAGTGTACGGTTCAGTGGCAGTAGGCATATTCATATTATTCTGTAACTGTATACTGATAGGTGTATTTTTGGTGTGTTTGTGTGTGTGTGTGTGTAGTGCTTAGGAACCCAGGCAAGAGCTCTACCAATGAGCCACAGTCCCAGCCCTATGACAGGTTCTTAAATGAGTTACATAGCTAAATACATAACGTGTCTTTGCTGTGTTCTCCTCTGAGCAGGACTCAATAAGGGACAGAATCTTGCTGCCTTATTTTTCAATCTGTGTTCAATGCCAAATCTAAAAAATCTCCCTTGCTTCCTTTTTCTAGTAAGAATGAAACTTATGAGGCCTTAGGTAGACCTGTGCATCCTACCTAGAATCTTCTTCCTCCCCATTTCTCATTCTTTTTTTTAATTTTTAATATTTATTTTGTTTGTTTGTTTTTGGCAGACACAACATCTTTGTTTGTATGTGGTGCTGAGGATCGAACCCGGGCCGCACGCATGCCAAGCGAGCGCGCTACTGCTTGAGCCACATCCCCAGCCCCCCATTTCTCATTGAATGTGACTGTCCTAAAAGCTTGAGTTGGAATCCAGTTCTGTGGCAGCACTTCTACTCTAGGTCCAGGCAATAAACACTCATAAAAACATTCTGTCGATGTTTTGTAATAATGTTATAGAGATTCTGTAATAAACTCACAGGAATCTGGGCAATCAGCACTAAACCTATCTTGCCTTTCTTCACTCTTCCTCACAGCTGGCTCCTACAGGAAGCACTTCCCTCCTCAACTCCATGACTATCATCCAGAATCCTGTGAAAGTCTGTGATCAGGTATTTGCCCTGATCGAAAACCTCACCCACCAGATCCGTAATCGGATGCAGGACCCCAAGTCTGTAGGTGGGTGTGAGTGCTACTGTGTTCAGGTACGGGTGCATTTCTCAGGCACTTGTGTGGACTTTCTTAAATGTCTGAGACAAGGCATCCTCATCCCTCTGGTTCTACTCCAGAGTTGTCAGGGTCTTTTGTTGGAGGTCAAATCTTTGGCTCTATCTGACTGCCTGCCTTCCTCCCAGACCTGCAGCTCTACCACAGTGAGACACTAGAGCTAATGCTACAGCGTTGGAGCAAGCTGGAACGTGACTTTCGACAGAAGAGTGGGCGCTATGATATCAGTAAGATCCCTGACATCTATGACTGTGTCAAGTATGATGTGCAGCACAATGGGAGTCTGGGACTTCAAGGCACAGCAGAGTTGCTTCGTCTGTCTAAGGCATTGGCCGATGTGGTCATTCCTCAGGTGTGTCTCATAAAAGTGATCTAGCCTGGGGATAAGGGCATTAGGAAAGGGAAAAAAAGATTTGGGAACCAGGGGAAGAAAAATTAGAGAAGTAATTAGTTAAATTGTTAAAATTCTCAAGATCCACTCTGACTCTGGGTAAGTATAGAAGGCTAATTGAGGAGATATTTGGAGAGAGGAGAGGGAAAGTGGTGGATAGAAAAGAAGCCTCAGATCTGAGGCATGATCTTGGGGCTAGAAATATGAAGCAAGAGGAAAGCAAGATTCACTGAAGTACTTATTCCTGGCGCATGGCCCCTTAGGAGTACGGGATCAGTCGGGAGGAGAAACTGGAAATTGCTGTGGGCTTCTGTCTTCCACTATTGCGGAAGATACTACTTGACCTTCAGAGAACCCACGAGGATGAGTCTGTCAACAAGCTGCATCCCCTGTGAGGGAGGGCTGGGAGGGGTGATGGATGGAGGGAGGGGCATGTTGGGAACCCTTGGAAAATCAAGTCTGGGATGGCTTGGGCAGCCAAGAAGAAAGGGGATTCTGGGATGGAGAGAAGTCTTTGAGGTGGGAAAAATGAGTTTGTGGAAGCCTGAGGAAAGGATTCTCTGACTTCATGCTAATGTAATTGTTATCTCAGGTACTCCCGAGGAGTGCTCTCCCCAGGTCGCCACGTTCGAACACGGCTGTATTTCACCAGTGAGAGTCACGTCCACTCTCTACTCAGTGTCTTCCGTTATGGGGGACTTCTTGATGTAAGGATCCTCATTATTCCTTTAGTCTATGAACATCTATCCCCAGAATTCTTCTACTGTCTTCCTCATGCTGCTTCTCCTTTTTTTTTTTTTTTTTTTTTGTGAAGTACTGGGCATTGAACCCAGAACCTTGCACATGCTAGTCAAATACTCTATCACTCAGCTTTCACCAGACCTTTTAATTTTTATTTTTAAAAATCTTATTTTGAGACAGGGTCTCTCTAAATTGTTGAGGCTAGCCTCAAATTTGTGATCCTCTTACTTCAGCCTCCTGAGTAGCTGGGATTACAGGCATGTGCCACCATGCCCAGCCTCATACTTCTTTTTTTTCTGCAAACTTTCTCTATTCTCCTTGGCTCCCTGAACATTCCCTGACTCCCTGTCCTTGGGCATTGGCTTACCTCTTTTTGTGTTTGGTAGGAGACCCAGGATGCACAATGGCAGCGAGCTTTGGCTTATCTTAGTGCCATCTCAGAGCTCAACTACATGACACAGATTGTTATCATGCTTTATGAGGACAACACACGGGTGAGGAGCAAACAGGGTGGGATGAGGAGAGGGGCCCCTTCTTTCTGCCTCCATTTAAAACTATTTTCTTATCCTTAGAATTTGTGGAATCCAGCTAAGTGTGGCACCTAGACACAGCATGGCACAGAGCATCCAGGAGGTTCCTATTGGAACAGAAAATATGTTCTGGGATGATGTTGAGCCAGAGAGATTACCTATAGCACAGTTGTGGTGTTGGGGAGGATATAGAATTTGGGACATTATAATGAGTCTTTTTCCCTCAAATATGATTATATATATACTTTCTGCATCTGTCTCCACAAAGATGTCTTTAACATGCTGCTGAATGCACCATAGCAAAGTTGCAGTATTGTAGAACTAGGAGTTTGAAAGTCATGTGGAGTGGTGAACTATAAATGGTGGGAGGTGAGGGAATGAGGATCCAGTGACAGAGTATAGTTAAAGGGAAACTAAAACAGATCAGCCTCAGATTGGTGCAAGACCTCAGTCTAAAAGTTCAGGCCTGTATGTATCCTCTTGAGTTTCTCTCTGTTGCCCTTGCCTGCTCTTCCACCTCATACCCAGCTTTTCCCAATGGCCCCTTCTGTTCCATAGGACCCTTTATCAGAGGAACGTTTCCATGTGGAGCTGCACTTCAGCCCTGGAGTAAAAGGCTTTGAGGAAGAAGGCAGTGCCCCAACTGGCTATGGTTTCCGTCCAGCCTCTTCTGAGGTGGGTCAGAGGGCTGAGATATGATTTAGGAACCAAGTGGTGGGAAACTACAAACCATCCAGGACAGAAAAAAGGGTTGGGGAGTTTGAGATTTGGAGGCTGGAAGCTTTAACACCTATTCGGTCTGTTATGGAACAGAATGAAGAGATAAAAACAGACGAAGGAAGCACGGAGAACCTGTGCCCAAGGAAGGCACCAGATGAGCCAGATCGGGCTTTGCAGACCTCACCACAGCCTTCTGAGGGCCCTGGCCTTCCAAGAAGATCACCCCTCATCCGTAACCGAAAAGCTGGTTCCATGGAGGTAATAGAAGGGGCTTGGGAAGAAGATGAAGGGGTGGAAATATCCATGTATACTCTGAATCCTCTTGGAGTTATTCTTGGGACCTGAGTCTTCCTACCCCTGGTTGATATGTTTTACCCTAATCTCTCTTTCACAGCTGGTCCCCCAGTAGAACTTCTTTAAGCTGATTGCTACTTCTAATATTAAAGTTGCCAATGACTCGTGCCTGAGAGAGAATGATTTTAAATGACTAGGTTGAGGAGGACGCTGGATAGCTTTGAACAGGTGGTTCTTTAAAAGGAAATATATTAGAAACAGCATGATCTCTGGGCTTACATCCTAGTCTGATTCTTAGAAGCTGTATGACCTTGCCTCGATAACTAAACTTCTCTAAGCCTCATTCTTTTATCTATAAAATATAAGTAATATTCACTTTATAGATGCTTATTAAATGGTAACTATAGTAACAATACCAAAAGATGGCTCTCTCCATCTTTTTTTTTTTCCACTTTGGGTAAAAATTATAGTGCAGACATGAGCAAACACCTGACACTTTAATGCCATTAGGGTTATATCTGTGTGTGGGCCTGTGCCCTGCCACTCTTTTGTCTCTAGTTCTGGTTCTTATTCTCAAGTCTAGAGAATGGAACAGTTTTTAATCTCACATTGGGTTTATCTAATTGTCCTGGGGTTTTCATTTGATCTTTTTCCTGGAAACACTGTTTTATCTCTTTGACCCAATGATACTCTTTTTGATGCCATGATTTATTCCTCTCTCGGGGACTTTTCTAATTTGGATGCTTCTGTGACCCCATGAATTACTGTTCACTTGACTCTGTGCCAAATCTCTATCCTGGAGGAGTTTTTTTTTTTTTTTTTTTTTTTTTCTATTTTAGGGATTTCTTAGAAGAATGTACAACTGGCTTTCATAGGTCAGCCATAGGTTTCCAGTTCAGATTTTGGAGAAAGCCAAGAAGAAACACAATGGTCTCTTTTCCAAAATCATCCTTTACTTCCTAATTATTTTAAGGTAGAATTGATGTTGATAATTCACATTGGGATATGCATTATTTTCTCCTTGAGGTTTAGGTGTAACTTGATGTCTACATTTCTCTACATACCCTACAGACTCATATGAAATTGATTAAATGGACAGAATGACACATCATCTTCCACAGAAAGCTGCTGCTTCACATTGAAATGTCTTCCCCACTTTCATGGTCTGCTGGTCTGCCTGGCAGGATTGTGCTGGACCTCCTTTTTTCTTCTGGTCTAAGCACAAGAAGACATAGGCAAAGGAGAGCTCTCTGTGTATCATCTCTTAGTCTTGATAATATTGTCTTCCTTCAGTAAGCTTCCACATTCCTTCTTTCAGTTACTGTGTTACTTAGACCCTGGCTCAGCCAGGATGATGGCTGCTTAGGATACACTCCTCAACATTGTAAGAAATCTTCTTTTTGCTCTTTGGTCACAAAGCTTTATTATAATAATATTTCCTCTCCTTGCTGTAGGTATTAGACTATCTTATCCTTATCAATGACATCCTTCCTCCCATCCCTCCTTCTTGTCATCTCATATTTTTTAACTGTTTTGACCTTCATAGCAGTTGTGCCCTAGGTGGTTATCCTCTCCAGCTCTATAACTGGCTCAGCTCTTTGGGCACTGGGGATTTGGGAGCCAGGAGGTTAAAGGAGCCATGACCGGCTTTTCATCCGGTCTGATTGCAGGTCATGAACATGCAGTGCACGGGGAACCTGGACCTGATCCCCTTGAGGGGACGGCGCCGCCGGAGGTCAGGAGACCTCCCCCGGCCTTCCCCAGCCATCGGCCTACAGCCCCGGGCTGTGTCCACCACCCACCTGGCATCCTGCACACAGGTGTCCCTCCCTGTATCACTTTCCTTTCCTGTTTTCTATCTCTGCTTTTTGGGATCTAAGGATGTGAAACACTATCTAGGTGGGATGTGTGTATGTTAGGGATTGTGTGATTGGTCCTCATGGACATTGGAATAAATTGGTTTTATATATCCAGAAGTTAAATAGTTGGGAGTGGGGCACATTTGATGTAAATTAGAAACCTATGCAGTAATCACAGTTGTCCCATGGAAAAGAGGAGAGGGTGACCAGACTTTGTGGCTAAACCACTATAGTTGTCTTTCTGAGTCCTGGGGAGGGATAGATAAGATTAGGGACCCCAGTCTACTGAGAACTATGAATAATTGGATCATGATTTCTCAGATTTGGGGTGGGAGGGCTGTGAGGACAGTTATCTTAGGAATAGAAGTGACTTGTATAATAGAAGAATTCCCTGGACAATTATCTTGCAAAAAAACACTCTCGGTTCTCTTTTCATTTCTCTTTCCTATAAAAATTCTTTGATTCTTTCAAATTTTCTGATGCTGCTTGGCTTTGTAGGGGCAAGAATTAAAAACCTGGGTTTTATACTTCTAGGTTGAGGTAGCAAAATAATAACATAGAGTCTTTTTCTGCAGGTGCTGTCTGAGACTTCGTCTTCAAGGCCTGGTGGCTATCGGCTCTTTTCATCTTCACGGCCACCAGCAGAGATGAAACAGAGTGGCCTAGGTATGGTTTTCTAGCATCTCTCACATATGGTGGAAAGGGTTGTCTGTCTGTTCTTCAGAGTTTTATTGTGGGAAATCTTTGTCATGGGAGGTGGGACCATCCAGTGAGTGGAACTGTCAGGTGGGGGTAGGGAGGATGAAGTGTGAGAAGCCATAGTTAAGTATGAACTTGTATCTCAGATGATTGTTTCCATCTCATGAAGGTGTCTGTCTTTTGGTTTTCTCCACAACCCCCCATTTCCCTGGCTGAATGGCATTTTTCTGGCTTTCCCTCTCATTCCTTATCTGCCCCTCCAGTCTACCTCAGACCTTAAGGGGCAGTGAAGACTCTGAACCTTCAGAGTTATCAGTGACAGAGCTTTAAATAGAGGTACTCATGATCCTCATAATTGTCATATTCCTCATATGGAGAACTTGTGCCATGTCTTCCTCTGAAGCCTGTGTTTTTCACATCCCTGTGCTGCCCACTCCTACCTTTATGCCCTGGCCTTTATCCTGTCCTAATACTGTAACTTTTTTCCTTTCCTTTTGGAAGATTGAGGGACAAATCTGAAACTGGTGTAGTGGCAGAGGCTTCTCTCAGGACTTTGAGGGAATGTCTCTTGATTTTTTTGATCCCTGGAAAGGGGTGGAGAACTTCATTCAACCTTTTCTAAGAACACAGACTGCAGGAAGAACCAAGCCACTGAGGGTATTGTATTCTTTGGGAGGGGGAGGTGGTCCTTGGGAGAGGCTGTCTCTGAACATGCTGCCATGTCAACCAGTAACTAGAATTAGAGGTCAGAGATGAATGTGTGGGGTCTGAACTTGTTCCCCACCTTTTAAAATTTTGTCCTAATATTGTATTTAAATCTTCTCACTTTTCTGTTACCTTTGTCCTTAGTACCTAATTTCTTAGTTCCCAAATGGTCAGCATTTGAATCAGCAAGAGGGTGAAAGACTTTGGTCACTTTCCAGGCTAATTTTATGAGAGTTGGGTACATTTTAGATCCCTGAAATAGAGTAGATGGTTTGGGGCATGAGAAACAAATGACAAATGTGTATATCTGTGATACGGGCTTTTCTTTCCAGAAGTCCTAGTGAAGAGTAGATTTCAGATAGTCTGGAGAAGTGGGTAGGTATGTCTGGCCCAGTTAAATGGGAGTGATGTCAAGAATAAGGCATGGGTAATGGACACAGAACTGGTTGACAGATGGTGGTGGTAAGGTAGAGACCACTGGGCAGAACAGGATTGGCATGACTGCACTAGAAAATTTTTCAGTGGAGGAAATAAATGTAGGACAAAGCTTGGGGTGGTCTGGGATAAAGCCAGCTAGTGTTTGCTTTTCTGAATAAAAACAGACATATTTAGCAACTCTTATTGCTCTATGGCACCCAATTCTAGCATGAAAGATAGTGGAAATTGTTATAGAGAAATCCTGAATTTGGGGGTAGAAATTATTAGCTATCTGATCTTTCTGATTTCTCTGGTTCCCTTGAAACCATGGTCTCTTCTTTGTGAGCTCAAGGGAAACTGACCTTCTCTCCACTTTATTCATTTCCCCTATAAATATTAAGTCACCAGCCAAACTGAGGGTCTTGGCAAAGATAGATTTGAAAGTAGAGAGCAAATCCTAAAAATCTGGGTGTCGGTTTTACCTCTTCCTGACTATGGTAGTAAAGACCGTGTAATTCTAATTTTATGCTAAATCAGATATTGGGGACAGTGACTGGTTTGATTTAATCAATAAAACCTTATTTAATCAATAAAAACTTGATTCTTGCTGGGCATGGTGGTGCAGACCTGTAATCCCAGCAGCTTGGGAGGCTGAGACAGGAGGATTGCAAGTTCAAGGCCAGCCTCAGCAAAAGCGAGGTGCTAAGCAACTCAGTGAGACCTTGTCTCTAAATAAAATACAAAAAGGGGCTAGGGACGTGGCTCAGTTGTTGAGTGCCCCTGAGTTCAATCCCCAGTACCTCAAACAAACAAAAAAAAACTTGATTCTTCAAGTTTTGCTCCTCTGATTGACAGTAGAATTCTCTTTGCTTTCTTTGAACTTATATGTCTGAAAATCTGGTTCTCATCATAGGGCTTACAAAACAATAAACTTTGAAGACAGAAAAAAAATGCCTGTTTTTATTGTTGTTTCCTGCTTTCCTTCTTAGTAGGATGCTTAGCCATAATAGGTATGCTCTACATATAATCAGCTTACTTTTCACATGCCTTCCAATTTGTGTCCATCTTGACTTCAGGAACTATACTGTTTTCTCTATGAAAAAATAAATTCTTTTCTATTAGAAAAGAACTGTACTATTAGTACAGTTGGTCCTCAGGATCAGGAGACCTAGATTCAGGTCCACCTTAGCTCCTAAAATACTGTGTGATCTTAAGAAAAGGAGAATACTTCTGGATCAGTTTCTTCATCTCTAAAATGAGGAAGTCAAATAGATGGTCTCTTAAGTCCCTTCCAGCTTTAAAAATTCAATGAATCTTTTACTTTCATTCTTGAGAAATGTTAAAAAGGCCTGAAGGTGGGGAATGTTGGATGAAGAAAGAATTGGAAGGGTGCCAGCTGAGTGCACAAAACATGTCTCTAGTTTCAAGCAAGGATTTTCCCTTTCAAACCTACAAGAGATTAGATTTCTGGGTTTCTCAAATCCTATATCATTTATATCCTCTAAAGGGCACTGAGTTAAATCTAGGGGAATCCAGAGGGACCTAGCTATTCTTGTAGGAATTCTGAGAGCCACTCAGAGAGCATAGTCTCTCTCTTTCAGTAGCTTTGAATCCCATACTGACATGACTAACCCTGTATTTGTAGTGGCCTCTTTTCTCTGCCATGTAGATCTTCAGGAGAATTCTCACTTTGCTTGCTGAGTGTGGCAATGGACAGTAGTGAATGCTGTTTGTGGTTACATGGAGTGGCCAAGTGTAGTGGTTTTGAATGACTGTGTGTGTGTGTCTTGATGTTGTCCTGTGAAGTTCTGTATACTTCTCTGTGCAGCTTTGTGTGGCTACTAACACACTCCCGGCCTTGCAGGCTCACAGTGCACAGGGCTGTTCAGCACCACAGTGCTGGGTGGCTCCTCCAGTGCCCCGAATCTTCAGGACTACGCGCGCAGCCATGGCAAAAAGCTACCACCTGCCAGTCTGAAGCATCGAGATGGTATGTGGGTGGGTTATGGGGGGCAAATCTTTTTTTTTTTCACTTGTCTCCCCGCAAGGACACAGCTCCAGAACTATTCATGCTTAAGATGGCACTGAAAATGGCATTATAACAAGTTTTCTTCATCAGTAATAAATGGAAGAAGAAACCAGGACCCCTTCCACCCCTCCATTTGCATTCCCTCTCACCATACAAATACTACTTATTTATGCTTATCCCTTCATAATCTCCTACATACAGGCTTGCTGCATCAATTTGTACTCTTTCCTGGATTCTGGCCTATAGGGGTGAGGACCAAGAGAATAATCCATGGTCAGGAAGAACACAGTGGATTCTTGATTAAATTCCAGGAAAGCAGGGTTAGGAAAATAGCTCAGTTAAGGTAGAAAAGATGTATGGAAAGAGATTGGGGAAAGGGAGGAATGTGTCTGCAGAGATTTTCTTTTTTCCAGATGACCAGAAAGAGGACATGATGGTGAAATTAGTGTTGTTTGTGGGACTGTATTGTTGTAGAGGTGACACAGATTACTGAGAGATTACACCAGAGGACAAGATTAATATATGGTAGCTAGGAATCTTAAGGGGTGGGAATGGGATCAGGCCTTATAACTAATTAAAGAATAGACTGTACTGTGGGCAAATTCCAAAGCAGAGGGTGGGGACAGGGGTGGGTATAATCCCCATGATGTCTTTTCTCCCCAGAGCTCTTGTTTGTCCCGGCCGTAAAACGATTTTCTGTGTCGTTTGCAAAGCATCCGACTAACGGTACGTTTGCTTCTGACTCAACATCATTCCTCCTCACCATGTCACCTCCAGACACTTAACCTCTGAGTTCTGACACTGACTTTGCCTCTCCTTCCACTGTGTTGACACCCTCCTGTTTCTGAATGAGCTACTCACTAAGTGTTCCTAATGGGACATTTCCCTAGTGACAACTTTAGCCTTGGCTGCAGCCTGGTTGACCTATCCCTGTGGCAACTCAGATTCTTACTTCCATAATCACCATCATCACCATTATGTCTTTTTTGTCAGCATCACCATCAAGACATTGATTAGATCTCTCCTTTTCCTATCACATGACTGCCAGGCTGAATACAGCCGATAATGAATGGTTCCCCTTCCTAGAAAGAATAGCATTGCCTAGATTGGGCCCATTTCTTTTACCCCACCCATTTCTCACTTTATGTAATTTTAATCTTCCTAGGTTTTTTCTCCAACTCTTTTGATGGGGTGGATTACTAGTTTGTTTCTCTTTTAGAGTAATGTTGCAGTTGCCAGGTCCCAAGCCTACCTATAAAGTCATTTGTCTCAAAGATATAGTTTCCCATCTCCATATTCCTATCTTCCTGCCATTGTGTGTACTTTGTGTGACTCTCGTGCTCCTGACATCTGCTTTATGTTACTACTAACCTAGTGCCTGGGCCTAGAAAACAAGAGCCCAGATTGTTTTGGGATAAAAGAGGGAAAATAATCCCAGTGATAAGTTGCCACGCTAATACGGAGCCACCAGGTAGGGCAATGTGGCCCTGGTTTGGGTGCCAGTGAGTTTAACAAAACTTCTCAAATGCAGACCTGAGGGACATGTTAAAAAATACATTCATATATATGTATTTATATATACATGCGCATATATATGTGTATATATATATATATATATATATATATATATATATATATATATAGTAAAGAGGGAATATAAAAGGAGTTGGAGGTGGGGAAGTAGCAGATAAAGGAGAAAAAACTATACCATGAGGATTTTTTCCTTGGTGGTTTTGTATGTATGTGTGTTTGCGTGTGTGCACATGCTCTAGGGATTGAACCCAGGGCCTCACGTGTGCTAAGAATACACTCTACCACTAAGCTAGACCCCTAGCCCCTGTATCTTGAATTTTTAAAGGTAGTTTCCATGTGGTCCTAGCCTACCTATGGCAAAACTGCCTAAGAGAAGCTGGAGGAGTTGAGATGTCTGCAGGGGATCCCAGGGAAGCTTAGGAAAGAATAATATCTCAAGATTTTTGAAGAACTGGGTCTGCTCACACTAAGGTGGGTGAGTTTGGAGATCTGTATAAATGAAAACCTGAAAGGTTAAGGTCTGTTTGCATGTTTTTCTGGATTCTGGCTAGTAGTGTATAACAGGAGAACTCAAGGTTTATTCCCTGTTGAGTTTTTATCTTTTATATCCTTAGTTTTCTCTGTATTAGTCTTATCCTCAAGGTAAATCTAGTTTTGTTAGATATGGTTTTCTTCTTTCCAAGAGCTAAGACTCTCTGAGGAAGATAAAATTAGTCTGGTTTCCTGGCTAGGAAACCTCCCCATGCTGATATCCTACTGCTTAGCCAGTGGCAGGTTTTGGATTTTAGCCTAGTCAGGTCATACATCTCTACTAAACACTGGTGAAATCTCTCCTTAGGTCAACAAACCTGTATTTGCTTAATTTATCCCCATCCCCAGACCCCCCACTTGTATCTGTGGCAGAAATCCCCATTCAGAGTGATATGGCTGTGCCTACTCATTTAGCTTCAAGCTTTTCTGGCCTTCATGTGCCATAGGCATCTCCAGAATAGAACAACATACACCAACCCCCAACTCTGTCACTCGGATTTAAGGTCCACAATATAGTACTAGGTGCTGGGGCCCCTGAAATGAGAGATAAATCACATATCTCTAGATCCTTAGGTTTTATTAAAAAAGATCCAAGTTCATAAAACAGATCCTCAAACTATATCTCCAGTTCCCTGAAGCCTTGGTTGGCAGACTCATCAGCTGAAGAAAACAAGAATTAATTTTACCATAAGGAGGAGAGGAAGAAAGACCTGGACAATTCAGGTATAGTGCAGGAGAACAAATTCAAGGTCTCCTCCAACACTTTGCATACTTTAGGGGTTTTCTGGCCTCCTTTGTTTTTCTTGTGCTTGAACTTGGAGGCTAATGTGCCTTAGAAACTAGAATCTGGGGTCTGTTGGCAACAGAAGAAATTTTTGTCTCTTGCTGAAGATTCTGTAGATTTAATTTGGCCCTTAGAACAATATGAGAGCTCTGCCCCATGGCCAAGATCTTGCTTGACCCAGCAAGCACAGAGTGGATGCTGTGTCTACAATTGCTTGTGGTAGATTATACACAGCAGTATGCCAGCCTACTCTCATTATCATCATCTCCTTGCATGATGTCTAGCTTTGAAACAGCAGCTTGAAAAACTGGACCTGGCTTTCAAAAGGAGACAAGATAATGCTTTCTTCATACTTGGACAGAAGCATAGCCCTTGGTCTCTTCCTGCCTCTGTTCCTGATAAGCTTCTGTGGCATCCCTGACTACATCCAGCATACAAATGTGCCTGTTACTAAACTGTATGCTGAACTCACCAAAGTAAATTAATAAAGTAGGAGAGAAACTGTGGCTTACCCTCATCCAGAGTATCAGAATATGCCTAATGGATTTGTTAAGCCCATTATCTTCTAGGGACCCACGCGACTGTGTGACCGTTGGTAAAGTTGGTTCTCATCAGACTAGTCTGGGTAGAGCTGAATTATTTCCTGACATCCAAACTAAAAGTCTCTAAAAACCATATTTTCATGGGATCACCCTATGGAACTAGCTCTGGTCTGGGAGTTCTGAGCAGTCATCCTCACCTGCCTTGATCCTACCTTTTCTATACCAACATCCTGAACTCAGGTTCTTACTCATCCTCACATCAGGTCTTATAACCCCATGCCTTTTCCCCAAGAGCTTTCCCTGTTATTCTTCTTATACTTACCCCACCACATATCTTTCATTGCTTTTTAGCCTTTTTCAGCCAAATCCCATGCATCCACAAAGTTTGACAACCAGCTTAAATAATGAGGAGTTCAGAATCAAAGCTTTTCCATTCATCAGCTGAAAAAAGTTCAGTTAGACTCATCAGCATAGGAAGAAAACATAAAATGATCTCTTTTGGCTTCTGTAATGGCTACATTGTCCTCAAGAACTGAGATTTATGCATTCATTTAAAAAATATTTATTTGAGTAAGGTAAAGGATGATTAGTCAACATTGAGAGTTTCAAAAACAGATTCAATTTTTTACATGCACTGTTTTAAAGGAGTCCTACATCTGGTTTCCTACTAGTCTTTTGTGCCAGCTTCATAGTGCCAGCCCTGACTACATCTATCTTGGAATCTGGTCCAGAGAGCCTGGCCTGAGCCTTCAGGAGAATTTTTAGCTTTAGGTGTATCTTGATACTTAATAGAATTCTTGACCCCCCTTCTCTGAGTGACTTTGAATCATTCCATCTCTATCCCAACCTCATTAATCCATTTGTCTGAGAAGTGGGCCCTAATTAGAGTTTTCCCAAGAATGACCAGGGATACTAAAGCCCTACTCAAAGCTACCAGTGACAGAATTTCCAGCTTACTCTGTCCAGAATGATGTGACTACTCTCTGGAAGTACTGACTGAATTATGCTCAAGAAGGAAAGGGAGGACCTTGTATGATAAGGTCTCATTTGTCCTTTCTTTTATTCTCACTGTGTGATGTCAACATTCTTCTTTGCTGCAAGAGATGCCCAATGGCTCCGACCATCTCTGCTTCTCTCTTAGCTTACCTTGGATCGAGTGGCCCTCACCTCCCAGTAATCCTTGTGCCAGTCAGTGCCCCCCTCATTGTCTCTCCCTCTTCTCTTTCTTTATCTTTGTGCTTCCTACCATGGTTCCCCCACCCCCTCCAGAACTGCTAGATGACCAGCACCCTGTGGTCCGGTTGCTGCGCAGTTTTTCCTCTGACTGCCCAGGGGGCCGGCCAGTCTCCTTGGATGCCACGCTGGCGCATCACCTGCACCAGTGCTCCTACCACCTGCGCCTCTTCCGGAACTGGCTGCGCTCAGGCCAGGATGACCCCGAGTGCCTCTACGGTACCCCCTGCCACAGGCTGGCTGCTGCCACTACCCTGGCTGGGACTGATTGCTTTGCTTATTGCACTTCTGGCAGGAGAGCCCATCTAGTCCTTTCTCCTGTTTTCCCCAAAGTTATGTGACTTGCATTTAGTTGCTTGGATGGGACTGGAGCCAGTCTGCCTGGTAGCTGTAGCATTGGCTGCTCATCCCCTTCCTATTCTCCTTTGTCACTGCCCGCTAATGTTTCCCATTCCCTAATCTGTTCGGTAGAGGTGTAATCTCTTGCCCTAGAATCTTTTCTTATCTTTATAACCCTCTACTACAACCAGTTTCAAAACCAGAGGTTTTTCTAACCACCCCGAGGAGCTAGAGACTCCTCTGTGCACCCCTGCCACTAGGTTATGGGGAAACAAAGGCACAGAGGCCTCAATTAAATTCTTGAGGCAAACAAAGGCCAAAGGTTAGAAAATGATCAGATATGATCATTTTGAATTGTAGGTTTTAGTTGTTGGTGAACAGGAGGCCAAGTCTGCATAGATATTGCTGCCCTGCCTACCCTTTGTCCTTTTAAGGAGATGTAGAAAAGGCATTGGAAAGACTGGGTACTGAAAAAGTGGCTGGAATGCATGTTTCTTGATCCTTCAATGGGAACATTGTTTCTATCAGTAGTCCCTGGAAGTAGGGTTACACATTTAGGTTTACCTTTGATCCTACCCAGACTAGTAGACCTATATTAGAATTGTTGGGTTTAAAGCATAGTTATAGTGTAGACTCCTTTTTCTAGGAGTTTTCCTCATTTATTGATGGAATATACAGATCCAAACAAATCTAGGATCTTCTAATAGAGCAGATGGGAAAAGCTTCGATGTGATGGAAATGACCAAGAAAGAACTTCCATCCCCCACCCGTTCATGCATGTGGTTTTCCTTGGCTGAGCTTCATGTGTATTGCATGCCCTCCAGTTTGCATCCAAGTATTCTAGCCTTTCTACCCATATCCTAAATTTGCATGAACCCTGCCTCCCTCAGATTTCATGCCCTCCTCCTTAATCTGGTTTTCTTGTTCATGATACCTGAAATCTGCTGTTTCTTCCCAGCTCCATGATCTCCCTGCCTCATGTTAGATCTACAGTTTCACTCCTTACCTGTGGATCCTTGTTTTATTTCCCTAGAAATTGCAAGAGCAATGTTAGTGCTTACCCTACTGGGCTTCTATTGATTTTTCCAGGGGACATTGCAGGCTATCCATAGATAGGATCAGAGGTGACTTGATTCACCTGGAAGCTTTAATAGATAGAATTTTTAGGAAATCTGGAGGTGAGAAAAATAGACTTTCCCTAGGGGCTCTAAAGAGTTCCCTCTCCTGGGAATCTTGGATACCCCACATTCTAAAAGCCACGGACTCTCCTGATGGCTCTCAGGGACTGTCCATGCTTCCTTGGCCAATTTAATTGGGTTCTACCTGATAAGAATAACATTGACTTTCCTCATCTTTTTTCCAACAGGATTTGAAGGGTGCTCCATGGTACCTACCATTTACCCACTGGAAACACTGCATAATGCCCTTTCTTTGCGTCAAGTGAGTGAATTCTTAAGTAGAGTCTGCCAACGCCACACAGATGCCCAGGCACAGGCATCTGCAGGTATGGAGAGTACTCTTACTTTGTACCCCTGTCTCTACTTCCATTCCCATGATTCCTAGAAGACCTGAAAGTAATAAATTAAAAACAGGTACTCCATAAAAACACAAAAGTAGACTTGAAAATATGTATAATCATATAGGCCAACTAAACATCACAGAAATATTACTCCTTCCTAAGTTAATTTCTATGTTTAATGATTCCAATTAAAAACACAAATCAAGGGCTGGGGTTGTGGCTAGACGGTAGAGCACTCACCTAGCATGTGCGAGGCCCTGGGTTCGATCCTCAGCACCACATAAAAATAAATAAATAAAGATATTGTGTCCAACTAAAAAATAAATATTAAAAAAAATCACAAATCAAGGACTGGGGTTGTGGCTCAGTGATAGAGTTCTTGCCTAGCACGTGCATGGCACTGGATTCGATTCCTCAGCACCACATAAAAAAATGAAGATATTATGTCCATTTACAACTAAAACTATTTAAAAAAAAAAAACCACAAATCAATTCTTAAATTCTCTTTGGAAAACAAATAAATGAGGGCTAGGGTTGTGGCTCAGAGGTAGAGCGCTTGCCTAGCATGCATGAGGCACTGGGTTCAATTCTCAGCACCACATAAAAATAAAATAAATGGGCTGAGATTGTGGCTCAGAGGTAGAGTGCTCACTAGCATGCGTGAGGCACTGGGTTCGATCCTCAGCACCACATAAATATAAAATAAAGACATTGTATTCACCTATAACTAAAAAATAAATATTAAAAAAATTAAAATAAAATAAAGATATAGTATCAACCTATAACTAAAATAAATAAATATTTTTTAAAAAGACAAATAAGCAGCAAGGTATGGTGGCGCACACACCTATAATTCCAGCAACTCAGGAGGCAGAGGCAGGAGGATCATAAGTTTGAGGCTAACCTCAGCAATTTAATGAGTCACTAGGCAACTTAGTGAGATCCTGTTTCAAAATAAAATGAAAAATAAAAAGGAATTGGGATGTAGCTCAGTGGCAAAGGGCCCCTTGAATTCAATCCCCAGTATACACACACACAAACACACACACACACACACACACAAAGGCAAGGATAGCAAAGAAAACCTTGAAGAATAATAAAAGGATACTAGCTTTACCACATTTAAAAAATATTCTCTGATCCCAATGGCTTGGGAAGCTGAGACAGGAGGTTCATGAGTTCAAAGCCAACCTCAGCAATGGCAAGGCACTAAGCAATTCAGTGAGGCCCTGTCTCTAAATAAAATACAAAAATGGGCTAGGGATGTGGCTCAGTGGTTGAGTGCCTCTGAGTTCAATCCCTGGTACCTCTAAAAAAAGTCTATAAAATGTATATAATAAAAACAGTGTGATTGATACAAAAATAAACAGTGAAGCCAAGGAAACAAAATAGAAAATCTAGAAATAGATAATATTAGCATTCAAAATACTTGGTAAAAGAGAGTCTTTTTTAAATAAGTAGACTAGGGCTAACTAGCCATTTGACCAAAATTAAAATCAACTTTATACTCTGGAAAATAACAAAAGTTTGCAGGAAGTAGTAAAATGCTGATTCAAGAGAGAGGTAACCTGGGCTGTGGATGTAGCTTGGTGGTAGAGCACTTACCTCATGTGTGTTGAGGTCTTGGGTTCAGTTTCCAGCACAAGAAAACAAAAATTACTACATTGGTAAATGTAAAAGCCAGCATTAATAACAATTATAAAATGCATACCAAACAATAGCACCCAAAACATATAAAGAAAACATTGATCAAACTGAAGGGAGAATTCTAAAATAATAGTTGGAGATTTCAATACCCCATTTTTAATAATTGGCAGAACATCTACACAGGAAATAAGTAAGAAAAAGGATTTGAACAACCCTATAAAACTAGACATAATAGATAAACAGAATATTCCACCCAACAAGAGCAATAGATTCTTTTCAAGTTCACATGGAATATTGTCTATGATAGATCATATGTTAGGCCACAAAACAAGTCTCAATATTTAAAAGATTGAAATCATATAAAATATGTTCTTCATCTACATTGGAACAATGCTAGAAATCAATAACAAAAGAAAAACTGGGAAATTCACAAAACCTATGGAAATTGAACAAAATGTTCTTTTTGGGTGTGTGTGGTATTGGGAATTGAATGCAGATTTATTCTACCACTAAACTATATCCCCAACCTTTTAAAAATTTTTTTAAATATTTATTTTTTAGCTTTAGGTGGACACAATATCTTTATTTTATTTTTATGTGGTGCTGAGGATCGAACCCAGTGCCTCATGCATGCCAGGCGAGCGCGCTACTACTTGAGCCATATCCCCAGCCCCCTTTTTTAAATTTTTATTTTGAGACAAAGTCTTGCTAAGTTGCCAAGACTAGCCTCAAACTTGGAATCTTCCTACCTCAACCTCCTAAATTTCTAGAATTACAGGTGTGCACCACTGTGCCTGGATGATAAACAACATATTCTTAAACAAACAACGAATCAAAAAAAATCACAAGGGGAATTAGAATATGCTTTGAGATGAATGAAAATGAAAATAAATACCAGAATTTATGAGATGCAGCAAAATCAGTGCTCAAAAAGAAAATTATAGTTGTATACACCTACACTAAAAACGAAGGGAGATATTTAGTCAGTCACCTAATATGTACCTTATAGAACTAGCAAAATAGTAAACTAAACATAAAGCTAGCAAAGGGAAAGAAGTAATAAAAGTTAGAATTCGGGTAAAGGAAATAAAGACCAGAAAAACAATAGGAAGAATCAACAAAAACCAAAAGTTAGTTCTTTGAAAAGATCAACAAAATTGGTAAACCTTTAGGTAGACCAAGAAAAAGAGAAAGAATATTGAAATATCTAAAATCAGGAGCTAAAAGAACTTTATTGGGGCAGGGGGAGGTACCAGGGATTGAACTCAGGGGCACTTGACCACTGAACCACATCCCCAGCCCTATTTTGTATTTTATTAAGAGACAGGGTCTCACTGAGTTGCTTAGAACCTTACTTTTTGCTGAGGCTAGCTTTGAACTTGCAATCCTCCTGCCTCTCAGCCTCCTGGGCCACTGAAATTACAGGCATGCCCCACAAGGCCTGGCAGATTAGAACATTTTTAAGCTGACAAGGAAAAAAATAAAATCAGGAGTCAAAGTGGGGACATTCCTGTTGCCCTTGCAGAAATTAAAAGGATGATTAGAGGGTTCTGTGAACAATTTTGTGCCCCTAAATTAGGTTATCTAGATAAAATGGACAAAATCCTAAGAAGAAATAGAAAATCTGAGCATTTTTATAACAAGGGAAAAGACTGAACGAGTATCAAAAACCTTCCAACAAGCAAAAAATCCAGAACCAGATTATTTTACTGATAAATTCTCCCAAATATTTAAAGAAGAATTAACCCCACTCCTTCTCATGCTCTTCAAAAAAAAAAAAAAAATAGAAAAGAAGGAAACATTTTCTAACTCATTCTGTAAGGTTATCATTAACCTGATATCACAAGCCATAGATACCATGGAAAAAGAAAACAACAGACGAATGCCCCTTATGAATATAGAGGGCTAAATCCTGAACAAAATGTAACAAAGTGAATGCAACACTACATTAAAAGAACTATATGCCATGGGGAAGTGAGATTTATCTCAGGAGAAGGTGATTAGCCATAAGAAAACCAGACAATGAACATTAATGGAATGAGGTGGGGGACACTGTCATCTCAGTTGACACATAAAATATTTGACAAAATTCAATACCTTTTCATGACAAAAATTCTCAGCAAACTAGGAACAGTTTGAACTTCCTCAACATGTAAAGTGCATTCATGAACATCCATAACACAAATCATGCTCAGTGTTGAAAGATTGAAAACTTTCCCCCTAAGATCAGGAATAAGAAAAAAGAGTCCTACTTTTACCATTGCTATTCAATATTGTACTGGATGTTCTGGGCAACTGAAGATGGTAGGGAGCGGACATCTAGATTGGAAAAGAAGAAATAAAATTTTCTATATCCACAGTTGTCCTATATATAGAAAGTCATAAAGAAACCTTCAAAAAAGATCCCTAGATCTAATAAATAAATTCTGCAGAGGTTCAGGGTTTAAGACTGGCTCACAAAAGTCAGTTGTGTCTCTATACACCAGCAATGAACAATCCAGAATGGAAATTAAGAAAACAATTGTGGCCGGGCATGGTGGTACACACCTATAATTCCAGTGACTTGGAGGTTGAGGCAGGTTTGAGATCAGCCTCATCAATTTAGCAAGGTCTAAGCAAACAAGATTCTATCTCAAAATAAAAAATAAAACATGCTGGGGTTATAGTTTAGTGGTAAAGCTCCTCTGAATTCAATCTCCACTGCTCAAAAAAAGGAAAAACATTGTGTTTATAATAGCTTCCAAAGATTAAGATACCTGGGGGAAAACTTAACAAGGTAGTTGAAAGATATGTGCACTGAAAACTACAAAACCTAAATAAATAAATGGATAAAGATCCCATGTTCATGATGAAGACATTATTTATTATGTTATTAAGAAGGCAGTACTTGGGGCTGGGGTTGTGGCTCATTGGTAGAGCACTCACGTAGCAAGGCCCTGGGTTCGATCCTCAGTACCACATAAAAATAAATAGATAAAGTAAAGGGATTGTGTCCAACCACCATTAAAAAATAAATATTAAAAAAAAAGGCAGTACTCATCTGGGCATGCTGGCACTTTACTGTAATTACTGTTCTTCAGGAGACTGAAGAGGCTCACAAGTTTGAGGCTAGGCTTAAATATTAAAAAAAAAAAGAAGAAGAAGAAGAGTTAGGGATGTAGCACAGTGTTAAAGAGACCCTAGGTTTAACTGCAAGACACAACAAAAAAGTCACATATTGTATGAGTTCATTTATTTGGAATATTCAGAATAAGAAAATCCATAGAGGCAGAAAGCAGATTGATGGAATCCAAAATTGGGGGTAAGATGGATACAGAATTTTTCTTTGGGGATAATGA